TACTTTAATAAAAGTTATTTCAAAACCTGAATCACTTTGTGATAAGATATAGTATTGTAGGGAATTCACCTGTCAATGGCATTTCCTTCTAAAAGTAAAACTCATGTTGCTAAAATACAGTTTGAGTCCTGTCAAGAAAAGATAATTTCATAAGTCACTAATTTACCTTTGATTTGGAGGTCTCATTAGTTTATTTTTATATATTTAATAAAAGTTATTTCAAAACCTGAATCACTTTGTGATAAGATATAGTATTGTAGGGAATTCACCTGTCAATGGCATTTCCTTCTAAAAGTAAAACTCATGTTGCTAAAATACAGTTTGAGTCCTGTCAAGAAAAGATAATTTCATAAGTCACTAATTTACCTTTGATTTGGAGGTCTCATTAGTTTATTTTTATATATATCTGGTAATAAGTTGTTAGTTATCTTTTGTTACTACTGTGCGCAACTGAACGAGATGTTTGGGCCAGTGCCTCTCTGTGTATGGATGTGAAGCTTTGTACACTGATTTTTTGCAACAGGATCAGTGTTCAGAAGTGGCAAAGATTTTGGAGAAAGTGTCATTAAAAACTGATGTGAGTAGACTCTAGATTGCTTGAATATTCTTTATGTTCTGTGTAGTATGGCAAAGCCATGTTCTGTTAGAAAGTAATGGAGAGGGATGTATAAGGATTTAGTGCTGAAGTAGATTGAAGTCTTTGAGGTTCTGGGATGTTAAAATGGAGAATTTTTGGTTCCAAAAAGCTTAGAACTAGTTAGAATAATATGTAACCTTGTTCATAAAAATGCGGTTTAGCATATTTCTTTTCCTTTATTTTCAGTGGATAAGTAAAGAATAGTACTTCTTGCTGAGGAACTTTGCACTCAGAAACAGTAGTTATATTCTGAACTGCACACAATTAGTACATAGTCTGTATTTGTTAGCACGTTTCAGCAAGTTTGCATCATACACTTAAATGCTCTAATGACAGCTTAAAACCTTTCAACAGTTAATTTGTGTCAGACTTCAAGATTAGATTACATGTTGGTGGTAATGGAATCTTTTACGAAATGACCTGGAAGTGTGTCATAGGGAGGAGAGGGTAGCATTGGTGCCTACTCATGATGTCAGCTCACCTATGTCAGCTACTGAAGTGTCTGTAGCTAACAGAAAATAATGGAACTACATTGTCAATGGGGACTTTCTAAACTAAATCTGTTACAAAGTAGTAAGTTTCTTGGTGAAAAGTGCGTGTATTCCAGTGTCAAATTCTTGTCTGTGTATCCTACGGATTTATACAGTATTTATTATGTAGAAAGATGGCTTAAATGCATCTCTTATCAAAAGCTGTTGTCTTTGGAGATGACTTTAATTCTCAAGTCATTCCAGTCTCCCTCAGAAAAGTCTCATATGAGGACAGAGGGGAGAGGGATAATAGCTTGCATGATTTTTGTAACTGCAGAAGTCTTACAAAGCTTTCAGTGAAAATTCTTATTCAATCCTTGTGGATGCAGGTCATTCTCTACAGGATTTGTTTCACTGACTGGTTGTCAGAGATGCCTGAAATAAGTGCTGTAATTATACTTTTTAAGGATACCTGGTTTTAGTCAGAGTAGCACTCTGAAATATAAGGGATATTTAAATACTCACATTCTGAAAGACAAATTTTGCAGCTTTCCTAGCTTTGAAATTAAGTTGAACTATATTGTTTCCCTTACCACGTCTTGTTCCTTATATTGAGCTAATGGGGAAGAAAAGGGCATTCATTTTGGAAGTGAAGAGGCTGCAGTCGTGTTACAGTTTTTCATCATTCCCTTCAAGCATGACTGAGATCAGTGAAATTGAAGCCATTCTTTGCTCAACTAGATCTTTTTTCAGTTTTGCAATTTGGACTGCCCGGATTACTCTGATTTAAATGTACTGATTTTTTTTTATATTGAAAATTATCTGAGGAGAAGCTACTGGAGTGTTTTCAAAAAGTCAAGTCCTTATCTTACCGTGCTCCTTACTCCAGCTTGCTCAGCTGCTAGTTAATATTTATGACATGGAATTCCAGATTAATAATTACAAAAAATATTCATGGAAGACAGATGCTTACCTTCCCAGTGGCTCTGCCGTTCTGCAGTGTTTTTTATTCAGTCATCTCAACAAAGCCTTTTTATTAAAAAGAAAAGCCTGAGTAGTAGGGTGCTCTACCAGTTGAATGGTAGATAGAAGGGTTAAGACATTATCTATTAGTATTAGTAAACTTCAATATGTGTGATACGGGAAATGTGCAGTGTTTAACAAAATAAAGCTGCTGTAGTCATGCAAAAACATAGGTAAGTGAATCATAGCCAGAAACTGGCTTAAATTGACTATTAATATTCTTCACAGATCTGACTATTTTCCTTTGCCCCTTTAATATAAAACAATGTAAGTACAAGATTCTTCACTTACCTCTTAAGAATGTTATGATCCTTTTTCAATGAGCTGCTGCTTTCCGTTTGTGTTCCAAGGTGTCATGGAGTAATGCAATAAATACCTTTAGAAAAGGTCTGAATGTTTTATTTTACTACTTAGGAATATATTAATAATATGAGTCTTTCGTGATTGTATGCACCACCCCCTGCCTCTCAAAACCATGACATTTAAATTTGGTTCCCAAAGCATTGTAGGTGCCAGCTCACTCGTCGCAGTGAAATTTAACAATTATTTTGAAGGCTTTTGGCAGTTGGTACAGGTTGGGGTATAATGTTAGAGGAAAAGCCCCCCTCGTAGCTTAAGGAGGGCATGGATTTCAGCCACTGGAATAGGTAAAATAAACCTAAACCCAGAAATACAGCATTTTAACTATTCGTTATTATACAATTTTAAAAAGCTAACCCGTTGCAGCACTAACGCGGTGGTCAATGGACGCCGGGGAAAGCCGTGCA